TAAGCAAGATAGAAATAAGAGCTTCATTTTAAGTACATTACAATAGACATATTTATAGCTCAAGTGAAGATACATATGTTTTTATAGTAGCGCTCAGTAGCTTGTCGGGCATGGAGTGCAGACGCCTACGCATTTGCCGATATATTGTATAATTAACAAAGATACGCTAATAAAGCCTAAAATCTTATATGCCTCCAGAAAGACCGAGATATGAACATTATTATGATTGCACCAAATGAAATATATCATGTTCGAGAACAAAGATATATCAATTTTAAATTAAGTTTCGACTCTCTCTCGGGTGAGACAGATGGGCCTAGAACTCCTTCCATTGATTGTTGCCACGGTCTTATATATACACATCAGCCCGGTATTGCTCCGGGGAGCCTCCGGGTCTCGCCCAGAAAATGCCGTTTCATTACATTCAACGCTGGTTTGTTTCTTGCACTTTTTCTGTGAGTCTTAATTCATTATTGTTTTAACAATGTTTATATCTGCCTCACATCTGGGGAGGATTGATGTTGGTCCTTGGTCTTCCAGGGAGGGTTTTTGCACCATGGACAATATCTTATTATTATTCTTAAAGGACAGTTTGTCATGATCAATGCTTTAAAGTTGTTTGAAATGCAATATTTAATCTAATATTATAATATTATATTGATCACTATAAAAATGAGTCTATACAGTAATTATCCTTACTGTATTCACAGGTGACACCCAACTCTCGCAGTTAGTTAAGCTGCTGATCATTGATGAGGTCCACTTGCTGCATGGTGACCGAGGTCCTGTTTTGGAAAGTCTTGTGGCTCGCACCTTGCGCATGGTACGCACTCTGTTACACTAATATTCTTTCTGTAGGTTAAGATTTCTTGGTATTTTTCTTGTTCTATGTTAGATGCTGATCTAGTTCTTTGGAAAGAAGTTTGTGTGATACAGAAGAGTGTCTTATGTTTGACTGTGTATGACCTTCAACACTTTAATTACTAAAACTTTGTTCTCAAAATATTAATGAGTACAGTATAACATATCCTTTGTATCCTACATATTCAATGCTTTGTACTTGTTTAAACTACAGACACATGATGATGCTTTTGGTCCTTACAGGTGGAGTCTCAGCAGTCCATGATTAGAATAGTGGGTCTCTCTGCTACTCTGCCAAACTACATAGATGTGGCTTCTTTTCTTAGAGTAAATCCATTCAAAGGTCTCTTCTACTTTGATGGGTAAGATCAGGATTGTTATTTCAACATGTTAGATTAACAGTTATGAGAATGCCATTTCTACTTAGCTCTATGATATATCTCCAATCTACTGTATTATTATTATTATTATTATTATTATTATTATTATTATTATTATTATTATTATTATTTATTTGTATGAAGTAAATTTAAACACACTTATAATTTGAAAAGTCTGGTGTAAGCAGTTATCCTCTACATGTAATGTGTGTGTCTTTTGTGCCTCTACAGACGGTTCCGACCAGTGCCACTAGGCTTGACTTTTGTTGGAGTAAAAGCCATAGGGAGGTTCAAGCAAATGGAGGATATGGATAAAGTCACTTTTGATAAATGTCTACACTTTTTGGAACGTGGTCACCAGGTTAGTAATTGCTTTCTTATTAACTTAACAGAATGTTATGCTTAGATTGAAACCTGTTTTGTTTAATAATACTATGTGTCAGGCCTATGTAGAACTTAACTGAATGCAGCAGTACATAAATGCTGCACAAACTGCACTTCCTTGACTGCTCTCACAAGAAATTATTCCTCCTCATTATGAGAATTACTGTACAGTATCCACTTGATATAAGGACCTCTTATTTACCATTCCTCATAATGGTGTTCTAACTGGCAGACAGATTAGGGCAGTAATTAGAGGCAATGTATCTGGTTGGAGGAGTGTTACTAGTGGAGTACCACAGGGTTCAGTTCTTGAACAAATCCACAAGGGCCGTGACGAGGATTTGTTCATTTGATGCATCACGTTATCATGATCTCTGTGTGTGGTTCAGTTCTTGCACCAGCAATGTTTATCATCTATATAAATGATCTCCCAGAAGGAATACAAAATTATATGAACATGTTTGCGAATGATGCTAAGCTACTAGGGAGGAGAGATGTCGACGATTGAAAGTAGTGTTTGGAGCACCATGTGGCAAATGAAATTCAATATGAATAAATGCCATGTTATGGAATGTGGAAAAGGAGAAAAATAGACCACAAATAACCTACAAATTATGGGGACAGGCCTTAAAGAACTCTAGCAAACAAAGAGATCTAGGGTTGGTTCTGGACAGTAGACTATCCCCATAGGAACACGTAATGGACATCAGGCAAGGAGCACATGCTGCGCTTTTCAACTGCAGATTCACTTTTAAGTACTGTTCATGGGTGGTGAAATACTAAAAACTTGTTCTTGACTTTAGTAAAACCAAATTTGGAATATGCAGCAGTTATATGGTGCCCATATCTCAAGAAGCTCATCAGTAAACTAGAAAAGGTGCAATGGCTTGCTACAAAATGGCTTCCAGAACTGAAATACAAGAGTTATGAAGAGAGGTTAGAGGCATTAAATATGCTTGGTCATATGGGGGGGATACATACAGCTTTGACACGGGGGAGATACCAGATGCGCTTAAACCAGCAAACATAGCCCCTCTACACAAGGGAGGTAGCAAAGCATTAGCAAAGAATTATAGACCAGTTGCACTAACATCCCACATAATAAAAGTACAGGCATACCTCAGTTTAAGAGTTTAATTGGTTCCTGGAGACGCCTCGTATTCCAAAAACTCGTATTCCGAAGCTAATTTCCCCATAAGAAATAAAGGGAAATGAATTAATCCGTTCCTGACTACCCCAAAAACCCCACATCAAACAAAATTTTTATACCTAATTCATCTAAATAAACCTACAAAACTATGTTCAAGTTATTACTTACCTTGCTGTTGAATGCTGTAGGCGTATGGAAGATGGTGAGGAGGGGGGAGGAGGAGAGGAGTTACTGTTTGGAAGGGGAATCCCCTTCCATTATCACATCAGGCAGTGAAGACCTTTCTGGTGTGCTCTCCCTGGGACGTTTTATGAGTGCCACTAGGTCCTGGTTGAGGCTCACTGCTCGATTTCCTCACCACACATCTGTCCAAACCCTGGCTTTCTCTCAAATAATGGCCTCCGAAACACTATCACCCCTTAACTCCTTGTCGTGTATCCAAATTAATAACAACTTTTCCACTTCAAGTATTTGTGGTCTTTGTTTCATTATTGTTCTGACTCCTTTTGCCACTTTAGCACTCATAATCTCATTTTTCTTCTTAAGTATAGTGCATATTGTTGATGTAGCTTTGTTGTACTGCCTACAAAGTTCAACAACACATGTACCGTTCTCATGCTTCCGAATGATCTCTTGTTTCTCCTCTATTGTCATCCTCACATGGGCTTTCTGGCCTTTATCCTTACCACTGGCTTTCTTGGGACCCATGGTGAGATATATATAATAACAAATTGTATAGTCAAATCACCAAAAATCCAACAAAACACTGAAAATCCGCGAGAAGAATTGATGTGGGGTAGTCACTGGGTGCGAGACAATGGTAAACTGAGGGGCGGAGGGGCGACGATCGCCGAACCACCACGCGCTGGGTCGGCCTGTACGTGTATCAACAAACTCGTGTCCCGAGGTAACCCTCGCGTTCCGAGACATATTTTCCGAGGAAATCCTGCTCGTATTCCGAATACAGTGGTACCTCTCATAGCGAATTTAATCCGTTCCATGTTCGTCATGTGAAACGGACGTCATACAAAACGAGTGTCCCCCATGTCACCAGTGTGATGCACTGTGTTTATTGTGAAATTTCCCTAGTGTGCATGACATCAAATGTTCCCCAAAATATAATTTTTCTTTGTAAAATGATAAATTACCGTCCCTGAACATGTCTATGTAAAAATAATTACCAAATTCCACTTACTTTGGCTGTGAGGGCGTGGACAAGGTGCGCTGTGACGTCATCAGGGGCTGGTCGCCCGTGTGTGAAGCTCCCAGACACGGTCGCGCAGGCCATTCAAGCACCGCGTGTTGCCACAAATATGTTTTCAAATATTTTTCCTATGCATTTCCAATGCGGTTTTATTTGTTTCTTTTATCGTATATGATGCATATTTGTGACCTTTACAATATGTATACAGTAGAATGTTCATAATTTTCCATGAAACTGTGATACATGTGTCAGTAATGTGTCCACAATAAATGTTTATTGTCACAATATTACGTGGTAAAAATGCACTAATATTACAATATGTACAGTTTCACATACTATTTACACAGTAACACACTGTATTACACACTCAGTACTTTGGAGGTGCGTAATAGTCAACGAAGTAGTCCATGGTACACAGCGCGACTTTGCTCTCCTTGCACCAGCTACAGATAGATTTTTGTTTCCTGTTTCATCGTTCTGTGTGCTTGCAAATAATGCACTCGCGTGCACCCTTGGCTTTAGTACTTGTAGGTGGTATGTAGCCAAGCTTGTAAAGCATAAGGTAGTATTGAAACGATTATAGGAAAAGCTCAATTTGTAAGGTAGTCTTGAAAAGATCGCTTTGTAAGGTCCCACACAGGAAGAGATTCAGCTAGCCTCAAAGAGTGTCCATCAGTCAGGAAGAGATTCAGCTAGCCTCAAAGAGTGTCCATCAGTCAGGAAAAGATTCAGGTATTCTTAAAAATATCAATGAACACCACCACCATGGAAGCCGCTAACACTGTTCATCTATGCTACTTGTATCAGATGCATCATCACTGAACGCAGAAAACGATTCATCTATGTATCATCTATATACATTAGAGATGGCAAGGGTGGGGCTCAGAGCTACACCTGGATACGCTCGCTGTATCATCCTCATAGGTGCTGTATCACAGGCATCCGACCGTTGTGTTAAGCCCTTATTGCGCCTAGCTTCACCAATGTTATGACCCTTATGTTCTTCAAACAATAGGGTCTGAATTGCTCTGACTGAGTACAGTCTTTCAACACCGTGTGGGACAGGTGTTTGAGAGCCAGAGGCGCGTGTGCCACAAATGGTTGCTCACGCAGTACTAACCCAGCCAGCAGCCCTTGTCTTTCATATTCGTTATAGCAAAAGGTTCGTTCAGTGTTTGTTGGGTAGGCTGCTCCATTATGACAATCTTTCTTTGTTTCAAATGTGTTCCATTTGTTTTGTATTTATCACTTACGTCTCAATAATGGAGCAGCCTACCCGACAAACACTGAACGAACCTTTATGACATTTGTCCATTTTTCAAATTGTTTCAACAGTTCTTTTATTTTTCGTTTTTTTTTTTTTTTTTAAGAAACATGGAGCAGTCGACCTGTAGACCACCGAACGAACATTTTTGACATTTGTACTGGTTTTCAAAATTCTTCATATTTTTTATTATTTACGTTTTTTGTATGTAAGAAACATGGAGCAGCCTACCTGCCGACCACCGAACGAACCTTTTGCTATAAGACAAATGAAAAATAAATATTGAACACATTTGAAGAAAGGAAAATGTCATAATGGTTTATTCAGTGTATGTAAGGTAGGCTTCTCCATTATTGAGACGTAAATGACAAATAAAAAACAAATGGAACACATTTGAAACAAAGAAAGATTGTTATAATGGAGCAGCCTACCTGCCGAACACCGAACGAACTTTTTTGACATTTGTTGTATATCAGATATTTCATTTCTTTTTTCCTACAAAAACGTCAATGCTTTGCAACATCTCAGCAGTCACCCTTTTATATCCCAGCATCATTAGCATCTTTAAACAAGAACAACATAATTTATGTGCATCGTCGGAGGCGTCTAAGAATGTGCAAGCAGCAGCGCGACCCCACCATGTGGTGTTGACGTTACTCAAACCAGCGTTCGTCATACGGGACGATTTGACGCCGATCGGGCCGTTCGTTACCCAAAATATTCGTCTTTTGGGGCAATCGTTATGCGAGGTACCACTGTACTCGCATACAGGGACACTCGCATTCCGAGGTACCACTGTATTTGAGAGAGTGATCAGGAGTCAGGTCACAAGTTTCATGGAGACCCATGACCTCCACAATCCAGGCCAACATGGATTTAGAGCAGGAAGATCATGCCTCTCACAGCTACTTTACCATTACGGCAAAATCACTGAGGCATTAGAAAAAAAACAGAATGCAGATGTGGTATACACAGATTTTGCAAAGGCATTCGATATATGTGACCATGGAGTGATAGCACACAAAATGAGGTCAATGGGAATAACTGGTAAAGTAGGACACTGGATACTCAGTTTTGTGTCGAACAGAACACAGAACACAGAGAGTAACAGTCAACCATATAAAATCGAGTCCAAGCGCAGTTAAAAGCTCAGTACCTCAAGGTACAGTCCTTGCACCACTGCTTTTTCTTATTCTCATATCAGATATAGACTCAAATACAAGGCACAGCTTCGTATCATCCTTTGCAAATGAACCAAAAATCAGCATGAATATTAACTCTGCTGAAGATATTGAAAAACTACAAGCAGATATTAATAAAGTTTTCGACTGGGCAGCAGAAAATAACATGATGTTTACCAGCGATAAATTCCAGATAATCAGATACGGTAAAAATGAGAACCTTAAACATAATACAGGGTACAAAACTTAATAAAATTTGCCCATAGTAGGAAATTAGAAACTCCGTTTGTTAGTGTAGCTCTCATGTAAAGGATTTGGGAATAATGATGTCTAGCGACCTAAATTTTAGGGAGCATAACCAAGCAAATATTGTGGCAGCCAGGAAAATGATAGGATGGATTACGAGACCTTTCAAATCCTGGGATCCCATCACAGTGGTTGTACTCTTCAAATCACTTGTGCTGTCCTGTTTTGAGTACTGCTCAGTACTCAAATCCCCATTCAGAGCAGGAGAGATTGCTGAAATAGAGGGCGTACAGAGAACATATACGGGATACATAAACAAGATAAAGTATCTAAATTATTGGGATCGTCTCAAAGCTCTCTGAATGTACTCGCTAGAAAGACGATGGAAGAGATATCAAATAATATACAAGTGGAAAATACTGGAGGGCCAGGTCCCAAATTGGCAAAGTAAAATAACAACATTTTGGAGTGAACGATATGGAAGAAATGCAGCATAGAACCAGTGAAGAGCAGGGGTGCCACAGGCACAATTAGAGAGAAGTGTATAAACATCAGAGGTCCACGGTTGTGTTGAAGTAGCCCGTAGCAACTGTCTAACTCCCAGGTACCTATTTACAAGTAGGTAACAGGCACATCAGGGTGAAAGAAACTGCCCATTTTTGTTTCCGCCTCCACCGGGAATCGAACCCGGAACCTCAGGACTACGAATCCGAAGTGCTGTTCACTCAGCTGTCAGGCCCCTGTCACTACGAGTGTAGCTCTCATCCTGTAACTACACTTAGGTAATTACATGAAGTTTTGAATAAAATTACTGCATATGATTTGTTCTTTGTATAATTTTGTTTTCTATATTTTCAGGTAATGGTCTTTGTTCATGCCCGTAATGGTACTTTACGTACTGCTGAAAATTTGATTAAGTTGGCTCAGGAGATGGGCAAGACCCAAGACTTCCTTCCAGATGATGGACCAGATGTTACCCGAGCTCGCAAAGACATAGGCCGATCAAGAAACAAAAAGCTGGCAGAGTTATTTGAATCTGGATTTGGAGTTCATCATGCTGGTCTCTTAAGAGCTGACAGGTATCAGTATTGTTGGTAAATGATTAATCCAACACCTGTTATTAGAGGTTTTAATGGAATTTATGCTATGGAATTCATTATTAGATATGTAAGATGTATATGTTGACATTAAAAGAATAGTAGTCAGTAAGTATTTGAACAGTGACAGTTTCTGTTGTTTTGGTTCTCTGCTCTAAGACATTGGATTTAAAATGAAGTAATATATGTGAGGTTAATGTGCAGACTTCCAGCTTTAATTTGTTGGTGAACTACAAATACAACTACATTGGGTGAACTGTGTTAGAATTAGTCTTTTTCTGTGGGGAGCCCCTACGGCTCCCTGGAGCTTATCGGGCTAATTTTTTTTTTTTTTTGAGATATATACAAGAGTTGTTACATTCTTGTACAGCCACTAGTACGCGTAGCGTTTCAGGCAAGTCCTTAATCCTATGGTCCCTGGAATACGATCCCCTGCCGCGAAGAATCGTTTTTTCATCCAAGTACACATTTTACTGTTGCGTTAAACAGAGGCTACAGTTAAGGAATTGCGCCCAGTAAATCCTCCCCGGCCAGGATACGAACCCATGACATAGCGCTCGCGGAACGCCAGGCGAGTGTCTTACCACTACACCACGGAGACTGCATACAATATAATGTATGTTATATTAGACCGGGACATTAGCTATGGAGTTCAGACCTACCAGGGACCAGCGCCAGAACCTAGCCCCTTCAGAGAGGTTTCAGGGAGCAATGGCCCTGGAAAACCCCCTTGTGGTTGGGAGTTTTCCTTATCTGCCATCGACCGGGGTTTGGCACCCAGAAAGGTAGGCATAACAAAACAAACTCCACATGGTAAGAAACTAAAACAAAAAACCAAACAGAGAGGTAGAAACTCCCTACAATCCCAAAGAAACAAGCAATCACAATACTGCCGCGCTGCTCGTCCTTGCAGCCCTCCCCGCCCTGAAAGGAGGACGGGTTCCCAGACCTCACAGTGCCGGCTGCCTAGCACCAGTTCGTAAGCTAATGTCAACTGGGACAGACGCTTCTTTCTCTCGGACAACTGAGATGGACAGTTTCATAGGTGGTGTTTGCTTTCGTGGCATTTACTGCTGTGTTTTTGTGTTGTGCGGTGGCCAGGTGTTCCTCATTAGTACCGGGGCTGCATCCGCCTAGGAGCTTCCTTCCCTAAGCGCCCTGTGAGTACTGCCCCTGTGTGACAGGGTTATCTTCCCTGGGGCGTTCGGGAACCATTCCCATTGAGATTCTTGCTGCTAGATATTTGCCTCGCCCTTGAGGCCAGCTGGGGCTTAGGACCCTTGTTTGGTCTTGGGTAGGGACCTGTATTGTGCTGGTTAGGGCGTCAAGGTGTTGCACGACCTGCCACCTACACGCCGACCGGTTCCTATTGCCTCTGGGGACGGTGTACTTTTGCAGGATTTTTCTTTTGTTTTTATATTGATTTGCCTGGTGTGGGTCTGCCTAGTGTGGTTATAGTTCCACTGGTAGTGTTTGGTGGCCCTCTGCTAAGCCCCGTGATTGTACACGTCACAGGGGTTTTCAGTGTTGCTTCTACCCTTTGTTAGCTTGGGTGTTAACCGGTTAACAACACCTTGCCTGGGCTTCCCGTAGCAGTCAGCATACGGTGCCCTAGAAAACCCTGTCGGGGCTCGGTGGACCATTTGATGTGTCTTCCAGGTTTCATCCAGTTGTGTGCGGGTTTGTTGGTTGCTGTGCCCTTGTCTCAGGATGACAGTCACCACTTTTACCTCTGTCATGCTGCCTGTTGGGTCACTGACACCTTGACCCGGAGTCTTGCGAGAGATACTCTCTGCTTGTTCTCCAGTACTCTCCTGATGTCTTAACTGTTGAGAGTAGAGGCGGCATCTGTGTTGCAAGCTTGGTTTAGGTTGCTGCAATGCGCTAGGTTGGTTTTCCACCCAGTTGTTGGGGTCGCCCCGTTTTGGTAAGATAAAAACAGCGTTGAATGAAATGAAATGCCATTTTCTGGGTGAGCCCCGGAGGCTCCGTGGAGCTTATCGGGCTAATGTATGTTATAATAGACCAGGACATTAGCTAAGGAGTTCAGACCTACCAGGGACCAGCGCCAGAACCTGGCCCCTTCAGAGAGGTTTCAGGGAGCAATAGCCATGGAAAACCCCCCTTTGTGATTGGGGTTTTCCTTATCTGCCATCGATCGGGGTTAGGCACCCAGAAAGGTAGGCATAACAAAACAAACCTCACATGGTAAAAAACTAAAACAGAACCAAACAGAGAGGTAGAAACTCCCTACAATCCCAAGGAAACATCACACTTTACTGCCATGCCGATTGTCCGCACAGCTCTCTCCTCCCCGAGAGGGGGAGGGGGGGCCCCTGGACCTCACCGCACCGACTGCCTAGCATCAGTTTTGAAGCTAAGCTTCAACCAACGCGAAAAAACCGCCGACCGGTGGGAGGAAGGGTTGCCAGAGAGCCTCTGGGGATCACCCAGAAAATGGCGTTTCATTACATTCAACGCTGGTTTTCTGTGGGGAGCCCCTATGGCTCCCTGGAGCTTCATACCCAAAGAGAAGGAAAAGAAAGGGCTGACCCGGGAGGCGGCCGCCACAAACTTCGCAACGTGGAGCCGAGACAACAGGCTGCAACCTGCGACTCAAGGCAACAAGAACGCACAGGAGCAGACATGCGCATAAAGAACAGGAGGCCAGGAACCTGTGCGACCCTCAAATCCTCACGCCCGAAATGAGCCCTAGATGTCACCAACACAGCAGTGAAAGCTGCAAACGTCCGAACAGCACGGGCGCAACGATAGACCGCAGGCTGGAAGACTTAAACTCTGCGGATGACCAGCGAGACCCTAGCCCTGAAACAGGGAATGAGGGGAACCGGATCAACCCAAAGCGCATCCCCAGACACGGTACGCAGGTAACGGCAAAGAGGCGCAACCGGACAACACAGGATGCACCCCAGGCCGAACCAATCAAGCGTCAATAACCCAAGGACCCCTCCGGAAAGCAGCCGTCTCGACCATCGCCAGAAGGACGGACAAAGGCTGCAAACGTACAAACCTACCACCAGAACCAAAGAGCAGAAACCTCTGCACCGGAAGAGCCGGAAGCTCCCCGACCCGACCCGCAGAGGCCCATGCCAACAAAATATGGCCTATGAAAACCAAACTTGAACCGAAGGGGCTACCACAAACTGAGGAGAAGAAGATAAGAGGGCACCCTGATCAAGGACCAGGACGGCTCAGGCGACGCATGAGCAGGCCGGAGGTGAAACAAAACACGAGAAAGCGTACGGAACGGGGCAGATGTGACGTCCACCCCGAACGCAAGCCGGAGTGGCTCCGCCAGCGCCGCACAAAACGAGGCGACAGTAAGAAACATCATATAACTATAGTCCTGAAAACCCAAGAAAGGACAAGAAACCCGATGCGAAAGAGAAGACAACCTACGAAGAGCAAGAAAAAGGCACATAGAAATACCAGGAACGTCATACTGTTCCCAAGACGAAGCTCGCAGGTGGGACACCATCAACGAAGCCACCTGATCACCATAGAGATGGTGATACACCCGCGTCAAAATACCAGACGCGAAGAGCCGAGGAGAAGGCCGAACCAGTCACGTACAGGACCGGTCCGACCTGCCGAAAGAGGCGGAGCCGCGGGAAAACGCCCCGGGTTCGGACACCTATCAAGCAGCGTCTGAAAATAAAGCTGGGCCGGCCACCAAGGGACCATGAGGACTACTCTCCTTGGGAATGGACTCCAACCGAGCCAGAACCCGAAGCAACAGCTGGACCAGGAGAAGAGGAACAGGTACCCCCACCTCGACCAGTCCTGCCGAAAGGCATCCACCGTGAACGCCTCGCAGGCGGGTAAGGGTGCCACATAGAATGGGCGACGCCTAGACCACGCCGACGTGAAGATGTCCATGGCCAGGAGTCCATACGTCCGGCAGAGCCAACAAAACGAGTCGGCGATGACTGGCTAATCCGCAAAGAGGAATGAACCGAGACAGGCTGTCCGCCAGGAAGTAGGACACCCCGGACATGAACCTCACAGTAGCGCAAACCCCGAGAATCCAGCAAACGAGCCACTCGAAGGGACCAATCCCAAAGGTCAAACACCTAAGAGAAACCCTGTGGTTCTGACAAAGAACCGCTAGAGAACAGTCCGAATGGAGCTGGATGGTAGAGCACCGAGTGACCCGAACCCTCCGAAGCGCAAACCAGACAGCCACGAACTCCCGAACCGTGCTGTGAGCCCGACGGATGGACAGACCCCACCATCCCCGGCCGACCTGGTGAGCACTGGTCACAAAGTCCCAGCCGAGAGACGACCTGTCCGTGAACGCATCGTGCGAAGGCTCGGGGTGGCACCAAAACACGGAACCCCGAAAACCCCAAAGAGGAAGCTGGCGATGCAGCACCAACACAAGATCCCCGGAGGATGAACCCAACAATTGCAAGAGAGGCTGAAGGGGAGTCTCTGAAGGAACCAAACAGACGCCAAAGCCAAACCCGACCCTGCGGGCAGACCAGCACGGCGAAGTTCAGACTCCCGCACAACCGCTCGAGCAACCACCGAGCAACCCGGGACCCCCTCATAAACAGCCGAAGGCAGGACCACAGCCGCAGCAACACTTCTGGAGAGAAAGACAAGGAGTGGCCCAATAGCCCTAAACAAGGCCCAGCCAGGTCCGAACCTGGGACGGAAACAGATGGAATGGCCTCCAGATCACCAGGAAACCGAATCCGGTGATCTGGAAAGAACCACACCCCTGGCGAGAAGACAAGTGGACCGACTGGGAGCTCACACCAGCCAGTCGTCGAGGTAGGCCAGACACCGAATCCCGAGCAGACGCAGACAGGGCACTAAGATCCGGTAAAGATGCATAAATACACCAAGTGCCAATTATAAACTAGGGAAAGCAACAAAAGCGGCAAGCCTGAAGCCCCACCACCAACTGTGCCAGTCCCAGAAAACTGGAGAGGAACGTGCCAAGAAGTGACCCGGAGGTCCAGGGCCACCATCCAGGCACCCGGCCCC